TCATTTTATTACGCTATATGTTTACAAAATCACTATTTATTTCTCTTGAATCTCAGTTGCTGAGTTGTGAAAATTATCTCTAGATGTATACATATATAATTTGGAAACCTTTAGAAATACTAAAGTTCTTAAAATGTAATTCTTGTTAGATCTACATTTTAAAAAAACCATTGTTAATCATCAGACGAATTTCAAAACTAGCTGAGCTTTATATTTTTCTTCATATTTTTGAAAAACATACTGAATTCCATTCTTCAACGAACGTATTGAATTCATTCTAGAATTTTTGTGAAAAATTTAGATTTTATTTGTCAAAAGAAATTTTTGTTATTGAAAAATTGGCGAATATGTAAGTTAAAAATTAAGCAGTTAATAATTTATAAAACATATGTAAGTCATAACATAATCATTTTGGAAAATTTTCCAATTTTATAATTCATCAGTGTCTAACATGTTGTCCTTCTGTGAACATAAAGAATTTAAAACTCACACTAAAACGTAGTGTTAACTATGTAAAGAAATATTTCAAAAATTTATTCCTTAAGTTTTAATTTCATCAAATTTAACTTTAATGTTACTAAAAGCTTTAAATTAATTTTGAATCAATGAACTTAATTAAAATAACTAATTTTAATTACTTTATTTAAAATAATTTGTTTTCATTAATTAACTTCAGTATGACTTTATCATTAATAATTAACATCGGATGATTTGATTTTATACATGTAATCAAACCTATATAACTGTTACAATGTAATCAAATCAATGTACGATTACTTTATTAAACAATTTACTCATTTAATTTTTTTACCACAATTTCTCTTCATTTTATAAAGCAAACCGGCTTATCGGCTTATTCAAAGCACATTTTGCGTCGGCTTCGGCTTATTTTAAATGCTTATAGTATTATACTTATATATGTATGTATTATGTTTCAATATTCAAAAATATTCCATTCCACGTGCAAAAATGAGAGATTTTGCACGTGGTTTTGTAATTTTTATCACTTATGTAATCTTTTAATCATAATCATTGGGATTTGTTTGGTAATGGTTATGATTCGTTAAATTATTGTAATTAATAAAAGTTATAGACATTCGTTACCAATACTCTTTATAAAGCAAGTGGTTCATTAATTTTAAATTAAATTAATAACAGAAATTCCTTACACCCATTAACAAACACTTGTACTACCTATTAATATCTACTTCATTTTTATAAATGAAAGGGTCTTTTCTATTATTTCTCTTTGTTCTCTTAATGTCCACGGCTGATGACTAGAAAGCTATCTTAATTGCCACTCGTTTAGTTGGAAAATATGAAAAAATAAATGGGCCAAAACTCAAGAACAAAAACAATTAATCTGTTATGGAAAAGAGAAAGCCTGTTATTACAACTTAACAGAAAATTATTTTAACAGTATGAGAACATTATTTTAACATTTTTAGGCAAAATCTTCTGATTGATTGCGTCTCGTTAAAGTAGTCGTTAAAATGAGGATTTATATTGTGGCTGTGAATAGTGTGATTAGAATGAAAAATAAAAAAAAAATTGTTATCTAAGGTCAAAAAAGAAATTTTTATGAAGTCAAACAAAGTGATATTCTTCGAAAACTTACTTTCATAAATTCACACGGAGTACAAAAAAAAAAGTGTGTTTGTGTGTAATAAATCACACAAAGTACATAAATACACTTTGAACGATTTCCTTTTGGTTTTATATGCAACTATATACAGGTATTCTACCTAGACCTAATAAGAATTTTTGATGCATGTCAAAATGCCATCGTTACATTTGGTTGAATTTTCATGCATTTTAATTTTTAGGGTAACAAAATCAAAAATAAAAAAAAAAGAACTTGTTGCAAATGTTATTTTTATTGTTTTCAGGTAACAAAAATTAATAAAATTTTATGTATTTTGTGTTTGTACGTAAATATGTTTAGATATTTCCGAAACATATGAATATGTTTGTACATTACCTACTATCAAACCCTCTTATTTTCTATTATATAATGATAGGATTATAATTATTTTGTTTCAAAATTGTGGTTGACTGTGGTAACGTAATTATATACAAGGTTATAATTTTAAAATATTTTGTAAGGAATAGAAAAAAAATTCTTGCTTAAGAATATGAAAAATTTAATAAAAGCAAATATGGCAGTAAATTTCTTAATAGTATTATGCTTGGATGAAGATATTATGATTATATTTTATGCTGCTTTTTTTAGAAAATTAATTGATAACATGCCGATTTTAAATACGAAGTACATTTTATTATAAAATAATGTATATTTTAAAGAAGTTCTTTGTAATCGAAAACTAAATAATTTCCGTTAGGTTTTCCTATGAACTTTTTTAACAAAAAATATGTATACCTTAGCTTATAGTTATTATCACCAAATGAACTTTGGCAGGTGTAGCTTTTGTTTTAGGCAACACTATAGCTGATTTATTTGCAAGTAGTCAATGTATAGAAAGAAACTGAAATATTGCTTATAACTTCAGAACAAAGGGAGATCCATTGATCGAACCTTAAGATTAATTGAATAAATATTGCACTGACAGACTAGCAAAATTTTCACAAATTGCTGAGAATTTGAATTTAAAATAAAATTAAAAACTCCCAAATTGGTAATGAACAAATTTTGCTTACAATTTATTTTCGTAATTGTTCGTTTATTATTTGATGAGTTTTGTAAATAATATTTAATAATTAAAGGTAAAAATTTGATTTTTTCGAACTATGATTTATTAATCAAATAACATAATTAAAAATTTTACTAAATTTGTATACAAGCGCATGAGAATTGTTTTTCTAATGGAAGTAATTAAAGAATTTTATTTTGACTTTTAAACATTAAAAAGTTGTAAAAAACCCTGAGTGAATAAGCATGTATGTGCAATTAATGCCAAAAGCGTCGAAGTGGATTCTTCCATATGTTTTATTTCAAAAACCATAGTAGGCTTGAAACTCTGCTCAATTTCATTCTTACTCGAGATTCGTTCTTGAAACCCCTTGGGCACCAACTCTCAATAAAATGTTGAACAAAAGTTGTAAAACTCGGCGAGACCTTCTCAGCAACATGAATACATACATAATAATGCTAATTTTAAAATGGAATATTTTGTTACTATCAGAAATTTTAAGTTTTCCCAAAACTATTTTTTAAAATCTTGAATTTTAATTAGTTATTTAGATACATAAACACAACGTTTTTTATGCTCATATGTGCTTGCGTCGGTATAAATATTATAATATGTTGGAATTGTTGTACAGCAATTTACTCATTATTTTTATATCATATTCCATTAAAATTATTGTGAGTACAACGGAATTCATACAAGTGTTGTTATCACCTGTTAATAACAATCTGTTTATATGTGTGTATCCATACTTTTATATTCAAAATGTATGTGTATGTACATAAATAAATTGTCAAACAAACAAAATTCACCTGTATATTATTTGCCGGGCCTTATCAAATGTATGAGAAAAACCTTTTTTTTTTTCATAAATTTCTGCGAGAATAAATTTAATTAATAATTTAAGGTGAGTAAAACTGCGGAAATAAAAAATAAGAGTTAAAAATAAAGATAAAAGAAAAAAAACCAAACGAAAGAGAATTCACTTTTTTGTGTTCGCTTTTGGTCACTGATTTTGTTTTCGTTTTTATTAATTTTGTATTGTTGTAATTTGTAACCAGCACTAAATTCAAGCCGTAAACAAGTCGAAGAAATAACTTGAATCTGCTCAAGTCCTATGCAAAAAAAACGAGCTGACTTAAAAGACTTTAATTATTATTCGAATTTATGAAGTCGGCTCATTGGAATACATTGAAAACTAGTCTTACAATATTGACTTGCCGTTTTAAATGTTGAAAATTGAATAGTTGAAAATTGTAGAGATGCGCAGTCAATGAAATATTAATAATGGCTAGTAATAAGTTTTAAAGCATAATAACAACAAAGAAATACAAAATATAAAAATAAAATTTGCATTAGAACTTATAATAGAGTTTCTGTTATTCGTCCATAATTTAAAATTATTTTTCGAATAACTTTATATTCATAATATTCTGTAAAATTAAGTAGAAAACCGAAATGTTCTTAAAGCTTAATTCTCTTTGAAGTTTGATGTTTTAAATTTAAACTATGCCAAGATGTACCAAAATATTAATATTATTAAAATATTGTTTAATCGTTGTAAAATATTTGTCTTGCAAAAAGAATTAGTATACAATAAAATAAAAAAAACAGAACGAAATAAAAAAAAATCATCATTCTAGTTGAAACACACACTCATTTTAATTAGATTCTTAATATTTTTACCTTTTTTACTTCCAATTGGTAACAATTACAATTTAAATAGAGTAGTATTTGTGTGCAACATTTCGAATAATAATGTCACTATACGATAGTAAAATAACTCAATATTATTGTTATTAGAAAATTTTACTATAAATAAAATTACTGCATTTCACATGAAAATGGCAATAATGGCACAAAAAAAAATTTTCTCTTATTGTGAGTACAAAAATATCAACAATACGTTGGGGAGAGAATTTATACAACCGGCTTAATACGAACGAAGTAAATGAACATGAAAATAACATGGTTTATAATTTAAATTAACTCTCACATTTTCAATTTTGAATACTAATATTTGAACTGTGTGTTTTTGGATATGTTTATGTATATATGTATATTAAATTATATTATTATTTCATATCGTTCTCAAAACCCGACCCATTGAACAACTCAAATACAAAATAACTCAGCCGGCTTTAATAACGGTTGAATAAAGTCGTTATTTTCTTTAAAAAATCGTAATAACTAAAATAAATAAGAAGAAAAACGAAATTTTTTCTTTCTTTTTCTTCTCTCTTTTATTTTGTTTTTACTTTTTATTTTTTTAAAATATTTTTAAGTCGTTTGCTTGTCGGTAATTTCATCGTTCGGTTCTGGTTCAGTGGTATTTTATTTGTTCAACGGTAAAGGAGTCTGGTCTTGAACGTGAAATTTTGTGTTTTTCATACATTATTGTATTACAAAAACAAAAATAACTAGTGTGGTTCTGTTGTATTTGAAAAGGAGTAATAAAAGATTGTTATTATTTTGTTTGTTTGAATTTTTCATTCTTTTTTTGTTGTGATCGTGAGAATTAATTAAAAAAAAGTGCGGTGAATTTTTATACTGAAGAAATAATAGCTGCCAAACTTTAGAATTCAAAATAAAATAAAATTATTTAGTTAATACTATTTTAAAATTAATAACAGAAAAAAAAAATTAAAAATTATTTCAATTTTAAAAGTGTTGCTTTTTAAGTTAAAAATTCAAAGGTGAAAAATTCTATTGCAAACGTAGAGTGCTCGTAAAATTTATTATTGTTAAATTGTTAGTTATGACCAGTTTTATACAAGCAGATTTTCAATAATTTTGGATTATTTTCTTCCTTCCTATTTAACCAACTGCAGAAAGTTTTCTATTTTTATTATTTTAAAAAATTTAGAAATTGGAAAGCAAGAACCACCCAATTTAAGAATTCTAATGTAAGTAGGTATTTGCAAATTGTAGCTAACTATGAACTCGCAAGTCTAGATCAAATTGTAAATGAAAGCAACATATAATTCTGTTCGAATAAGAAACTATTGGGATTGGTACTTATTTACTGATTTTAAAGTGAAAACCTCAGTTAAAAAAAATCTTAATTAAATTTATTTTATTGCATGGCACTATTCCAAATATGGTTTTGATCCTGATTTAAGTAGATTTTGATTTTCGTTTTCTTTAATATAAAAATTGATATTTGAGCTACATATGTACATGCTACATGTGGCTGATAATACGTAATGAAAATTTGAGCCAAAACATTCCTTATTACGAAGGACAGCAATGAACAATTTTTTGCTAAAATATTATGCTAATTTGATTTTAAAATCAAAATACGATAAAAGCAACGTAGATTATATTGGAAACCGAATACTTACCGATGATTTTGTACGTATATATGTGTATGCACTCGAACTTTTATACAAAAATATAAGAACAAAAGAATGTTTTATTTTATTCCTGTTTTTGTTTTCATGAAATCCCATTTTATTTCTTAGTTCTTTTCTTGTGAATTCTGTAAAAAGAATCCAACGTTATACAAAAGTAGGAGAATACTTCTATATATTTTAATACATTGTATAGGTGGGTAGGTACTTACCATAAATTTATAAAAGAAAAATTTTTTTTAAAAGAAAAGAATATTTAAAGAAAACTTAAAAGAGAAAAAAACGAATTTAGCCCACCAGTTCCTCATGGATTTTTAGTTTTAACCATTTAATTTTGTATTAAGGTAATTTCAATTTTTTCTTCATTATTTTTCTTTTACAAAAGTTTACAATGTTTGGAATTTATGATCTAAGGAATTTATGCAAAAATCATCTAAACTTGAATGTTATCAAATTTTTTTTAGAAATTTTAAATTTTAGTTATAGATGATCACTATACGTAATGGCAACTGAACTTCTATATTATATTAAATATTAAAATTCAAATCAACACTACAGGCCTATAATATAAGCCTACAACATAACAAAATTTTAATAATCGAAATCTGACTACAAGTACAAGTCTACTTATTTGGAATTGTTTTGCTAATATTTTAATAAAACTTATCACGTACATGTTAATTAAATGAATTAATGTTGAGATTTGTACATAAGATGCATTGATTTGCTTAAAAAAATGATTCATTCAATAATTGATTTAGCACTTTATTGTATAATTGCATAGTTCATGGCTAAACTAAACCATTGTATGCAATTTAAAATACATACATATAACAATATGGTAATAAGTATTGTGAATCTGTTTAATTTGCAACATTTACATAATTAAAATTTTACACTTTGAGAAGCAAATTTAAAGTTTAAGAATAAATATGTATATAATACACACATACATATGTATCTATGTATATGAAATTAATTGGAATGCAAATCGAAAATAGTTGTATTTTTTTTGCAAATTCTGTTCTTATTAAAAATTAAATATTTCTTGTGTGTATTTCCATTCAAAAATTAAATTTGTATGTTACCCCTTTAGCTTTATATGTAAAAGTAGTACAACAAAAACTTTTGAAAATTTTAATAATAATATTAAAAATAATTAAAAATTAAAAAATATAAAATTAATAATTTTAAAAATATAAGCAAGCAGCACACAATTGTTTAAAATTAAAGTGCAAATTGACATAGATAGGAAACACCAAATTAAAATGACATAATGGAGAGTTTTTAAAGCAAATATTCTAATAATTTTAGTAGGTACCTTCATTTTTAAAATATTTAGGGCTCATGACGGACATACTAAAGGTCCATGAAACATTTAAAAAATTCAAACTAATTAAATTGTAAATTACAAACTATTTCTATTTAAGTGCCCTTTCAACTGTGACTCAGCCCGATTTATGGATGCAAATATATAAAAATCCTTATGCTATAAGAGTATTTGAATGAACCATTCAATTTTTTTTAACGTAACTACACAAGAACGTATAAAATTATCGGCTTTAAAAAATGCAATTAATTTTTTTTTATTTACTAAATTCAATTGGTTTTCGAATTAAATCCTACTGCGAATTCATAATAAACTAATAAATTACCACAGATAAAATTTTTATTCCAGAATAAATTTTACAAAAAATTAAAATTAATTAAATTTAACATAGTAAACAAAATATAGTAAGGTAAGTGTCCCTATTACTGACATATTTCGCAACAAATTCAACTTTGGCGTGAGATATTTTATATGTGGGACACAATAAATGATCGTATTTCCGATTTTTTGAATAATTTGGATAATTGGGAATAATGTTTTTTATAAAATTATTTAATCAAAATATTTTTTAATTCATAATTTTTCGATTAAAGACGAAGAGAAAAAATGTTCCTAATATTGACATAACCGCAAATGTTTGTGTCTATTACTGACAGTTTGTGTTCCTAATACTGACAATGTAATTTTATATGCTGTAATCCATATTCTATATATGAATAATGTTTTAAAATGGTTAAAATGATAATATTCAATAAAAATGGAATAATAATTTGGATTTCTACGGATATTTCATTTTATTTAAAAAAAAATTAAAAATTTATCATATTATAATTCAAACAAAAATAAAAAACATATTTTTTATTGAATTAAAGGTAAAAATATGTGAAATTCAGCTGATTTGAATTTATTATTACTGTAGAATGTACTTTTGCTAGTAGTCTTAATATGCAACAATGAATAAATAAAAATTTTTAAAAGATATTTATGAAAATCTAATTCGAAATTACATAATGTTTTATAAAGTATTATAAGTAATATTTGCTAGAAATGTATTCTTATAAATAATACCTAAAATATGATGTACCATATCACACGAAATTATAAGAAATCAGATCAATATATTCTAAAGCTGCTAATAAGCCTATTCTAAAGCTGCTTTTTGCTTTAACAAAAAAGACTATTTATGTATTAAGTACGTAACGAAAGCAACCCATTCTCAATTTTTAGAACAACATTTTGGGTTATTAAAAAGGACTACTTTTCTTATTTAAAGAGAACCATTTCCGTTGTGATATTTGTTATGACGTTAACGTTTACAGTAATTTTAAAGCATTTTTTTAGAAACCGAATTGTACTGTTTTATTGACAGTATTGTATACAATATTGATACACAATTTATTAGACGAATATCACTATTAAAAAGGTAAAAAGGTCGTAGTCAGATATAGGTTTTCACAAATGTAATCGATTTTCATTTGACTGAAATAGTTTAAACAATTTTAAAGTATAAAGAATTTATTTTAATTAATTAAAATGAATATCAAAAATAAAACTTTATACTGACATAATTTTGTACATAATATTGACCCTCTTTAGATCGTATTACTGACACCAGTTTTTAAAGGTAAAATACTCCGAACCTGTAGTAAATTCTTAGTGTCAGAATTCGGACATTAGAAAGAAAATTCAAATTCGATTTTAATTAAATAAATACGAAAACAAAAATTTAAATATTTTAAAAATGACGTAATTTATAAAAATACGGATTTTTGACGTATTACTGACACATATGTCAGTAATAGAAGCATGGTCGAATTTTAGATGTTTCTAATACTGACAGAAATTATTTGTTAAAATTCTTATTTATTTAATGTTTTTACTCCGAATTACTTATAAAATAAGATAAAAAATAATCAAAATATTTAATTTAATATAAATACATATATTTTTAACCGTCAAATAAGTCAAAAAACAATAAAAACAAAATCGGAAAAATTAAGCAAAAAGTATAAGAAATTCTCCAATGCAACCCACTTTTGCTATGTCTATGGAAACAAAACTGATTCATGTTCAATATTTTGGAGTTATTTCAAAACTAATTAAAAGGAAGTATTGCGATAATTTGAATTAATCTAGAAATAAAAAAATATATATATGTTGTATAGAGAAAATCTCTTAATAATTATAAAAAACCTCATGTATGTCAGTATTACCGCCACTGTCAGTATTAGCTACACTTACCTTAATTAAGTATATTTATAAATTATTTAAATTAATTTTATGTAATTTTATTTTATATTCTATTATATTTTATTTCCAATATATTTAACAAAAAAAAAAGTAATTTCAAAGAATTTCGAAATATAACTATAAAAATTTTAATTGTTAATTTTAATTTAAAAAAAAATAATAATAATAAATAATTAAATTCTATGAGAATTTCGTGCATTCAAAATAAAAATTTATAAATTTCTATATGAGCGAATAGTGTGTTGTACTTTGTCCTATATTTAATTTATAATTGTTTGTATGTACGTCTGTTCACATTTTTTTTAAACAATATTATTCACCTGTTGATTTTTTATCAGTTGTACACTAAAGAGTAAAAAATGAATGCATTTAATTAAATTTTTATTTAATTTAAAAGAAAAATATTTTTTATCTTTAATTTTCATATACATAGAAATATAGGTAATTAAAGTAGATATGTGCTATTTTGGTATGTGTATGTGTAGATCTATAGGTATAGACGGTACACAAAGGTTTCCATTTCATTAAACAACTTTAAAAAAAAATTCTGTGTTTTTAACAATGTAAACATTTATTTTTAATTTCAAAACATCCAGATATCATTGAAAAGATGAAAATAATTTCTATAATTTTTTTTTTATATTAATTGTGTTTTTAAGTCTGTTTAAACTGGGTATACGTAGTTAAAAAGAATTTATTTTTAATATATTCGATATAAAGCACGTACTCATATTTTCTACTAATCAGAACATTCGACACAATATAGCATAAAATTGTAAAAAATAAGGAAAATTCAATTCTATAGTTGCCACGCTGTATTGGGTAAAATATTGCAGTAATTTTGTATTGGATGTTAAAAAATTTTTCAAATTTTTCTAGAGAATTTTAAAATTTTTATATTTTTGATTTAATTTATTGGGAACAAAAACAATTCAAAAATGCAATCAATTCAATTTCGGAAAAAATTTTGTTTGACATGAGTCTGACTATTGGGTTGACTATTTATTGAAATGCTAATAATTTAGTCTGAACCAAAATTGTATAGAATTATAGGATTAAATTGTATAGAATAAAATATTAATTCGATCTAATTTATTTTTCATAATATGCAATAAGAATTTTATGTCTCATAGTTTTAAAATTTTATTTAATAATTTTTTAAAAATATTATGTGCTTATTTAATGTAAATCCAAATAATCGTATAAAACACTTCATTTTCTAAAATATTATTCAGTGTTTAAATGTCAAAAATGGTTATCATACATGATTCATTACATTTTATTTTCTTTCAAACACAATCCACGGATCAAACATTTTAATACAAAACATAATGTATGACCACTGTTTGATGTATAAATGGTTGCTTATATTTTGTTATTATCGCACAGCTATTCCAATATTAAAAAATTAAAAATTTTTATTTAGCTCTCATTTATCATCAACAAACTCAAAACTTTGTTTTGAGTAGAACAGTTTATGCCTTCTAAGAGAATTTTTTAACTTTCATTCCAAGCAGTACTCAATATTTTTATTTTTAGCATTTCTTGTGATAATTTTGAATTTAATAAAGATTTTGATAAATATTTTGTATAATAAAATTACAAAAATAATAAATTAAATAATAAAATTACAAGTACAGAGTGTATTGAACCATTAACATTTTTCGCCATTCTTAAATTTGAAATTATAAAATATATACCAAATTTGTGTATGCGTCCTAAGTTCCTATTACCTAAAGTAATGATTTCCTTTATTATAAACTTGATTTCTATTTTAAAATGAAATTAAATGCTTTCTTTTATAATTTTTTATTCTTTCTATTGTTCAGTTTACTTTAAACTATTCACCCTCGTGCGTTCTTCTATCAGATCTGATAGAGAGTACAAGTACTCGTATTGGGTGTATATTATATAAATATGTATATATAAATTTAATCGGAGAAGGCAGTTTAAAAGTTTTGCTTAAGCAAAATCTTAATTCTGACTTCACAACACAACACAACAGTTTAAAGAGTAAAATAAGAGAAAGGGCAAGCAAAGAATAAGAAATTTTTAAATATTTCTTTATTATTTTAGCCTTTTCTTTTTATATTACCTTCTTTGCAATTTTATTTGAAAATCGTGTTCGAGCTCCACCACAATAAATCGTTTACGTTCTTTATTGTATTAGAACATTTTAAATAAAAGTATTAAGATTTAATATTGTGATTTAGGAAGAAGACAAAAAAAAATAAATTTTATTGTTTCTTATTTTAAATGGCAGATTTGAACATTTGATTTTTATTTTTTACTAATCATTAAAAAATTTATGTGCCGTGCCAATATGACATTTAATACACAAATACAAATACTTGCATAACAGTTCTGGTTTTTGCATTATTCAAGCGAACAATATGTGTTTTTACAATTTAGATCTCATATTTTTTAGGTTATTTTAATTTCATCCTATACAAAAGTCAACAACAATTCTAAAGTGTGATCTTAAGTCGCAATATACAACGTAAAGGTTATGGTAATATTTTTTTTAAAGTTTTATTCTTTTCACCTTTTTGATGTTAATTAAAAAACTAAACAATTGAAATAATTTTTAATTATGTAATTTTAATTATACAAATATTTTTAATTTAAAGTAAATAATATTACAAAAAAAAACAAAACAAAAATTAATTAAGTAAAAAAAAATATTTAAATTTAAAATGTTTGTGTAGTTCTTCTTTAGATAAAAATAGTGTGCTAAATTTTGTCTCTGTCAATATTAAAATATTATTGTTTAGGTGTATGTTGCATGCTATGCTCAGATATTTTAATATATTGACATGTAGGCGAATTCAATTTTATAAAATTCTCAATAGATGTTTCTTAAAATGAATGTGTGATGATAAGCTCGTGTAAAAATTATATTTAATTAGAATTTAAATAAAAAATCTTATACTTAAAGTTCTTTAAATATTTTTTTTAAATTAATTTTAATTTTTAGAATTTTTTTATTTTATTACCTACTTTTTTCCATTTTAAAATTAATTTCATATTAATTGAGTAAGTGTTATGTGTGCTACTTCACCACAGTAAATGGTTGTGTGAAAGTGTTTGAACGTGATTATTTTGAGTAATTTTTAATTATTTTTGTTAAATTTTACTTAATATTTTAATTTTTTAAATAATTAGCTATTCATTTTTTTTTTTCAATTTTTAAGGCATTGAAAATTACATAATTGCTATAATAAAAAATTTTCGACTTAGTTCTAACTATTTTGTGTTCGTGTTAAATTTGAAATAATTTTACAAATGAAATTTGTAAATAAGATGGCATAGAAAAAATATTATGAAGAAGATGTAAATAATAGTGGAAAAGAAAATTTATATAAAATTAAATTGTTACATTTTTCCGGCTAATGAAAAATTAATATCAATTTTATTAATAAATAAATAAGTAAATAAAATAAGACTGTTTAAAATTAATAAGAAAAAATTAAATTGAAAAAAATAACAATAAAAACAGAAGGAGAAGATCTAGTTTTGGATATTTTCGAGAGAGATTATAACAATAACTGTAAGTACACAAATACATAATTAAATTATTTGTTTTCATGAATTTATGTACCTACTTATTTGCTCACATACATACATTCATACTATAAACTTATATTAGAATTGCTTTTATGATTTTTAAGATTTCGATACAAATGTATTTTTGACAACTAAATAGTAAATAAAATTAACATTTTAATTTTTATGACAAAAATTGTTAGGTTTTACAATCATGCATTTTTGTAACACTCTATTCTGTCTATTAAAAATTTAAAAGATTAAGTCCTACATCTACTGTTCCACAATTTAAATAGTTCTACTTTTTTTTCTAACATGCATAGAATTCGAAGCTTATCGTAAATAGTTACTTAGGCTTCTTTAAATAATTACAAATTCAACTGCATAAATTTGCAAAGCTTCTGTTAATGAATTATTAACTTTAATGTGATAATTAGTATTTTATTATGAGTCGTATAAGTCATTTAAAAAGTTGTTTATTTTTATTTAAGTTTAATTTTTTAGAAAAGGCAATTTGGCTCATAAATATTAATATGTTGATTGTTCAGTTTTTATAAGTATACGCAAAGATTGTATCGATCTTCACGATCTTTTTCTAAAAGAAAAGCAATTATGTAAAAGCTGACTATTTAAAATTTTTTGCTAGTTTATTTCTACTTAATCGCGAATCTGGTAACACTTTAAATGTGAATTCTTAAGTCTCATTCTACATTCATTCTTTATTGTCAAACTTTTAAATTGGCCTCAAAGCAAAAATTTTTCGACCAGCGATGCAAGGTAGATGAATTTGAATAACAGAAGAAATTTCGTCATTTTTACATAAATAATAGTGCATGTAGTTGTAGTTTTATATAAATCACCTTAAATTTAAATACGAGTACACTATAAATTTACTTTATGAATGTGTACGTAAGCAATTATTTTTATTACATGCGTGTGATATGTGTATATATATGCATTCACTCTGCTAAATATTATTAATATTTTTAATGAATAAATGGCTTCGAAAACTTTGAAAATTGACTTTTTGGATTGCTCTATTTTACAAAACAAGAGCCTCAATTCCCCGTTAAACTTTGATAAGTACACTAAAATTTTATAAAAGCTGCAATAAAAGCAATTTCAAAAATTGAAAATTTGATTTTAATAGATCTTTCAATTTGGTTCAAGCTAATCTAACGTCAGCAAAATTATTCAAAAACCATATGAAACTGATCAAAATCTGAGTTTATAGAATTTCCTTTAAGTGGCACCTTCTCTATTTTGTTAATTATTTTTACAAATTTAAGAAAATTCTTATCGTAAATTAAAAACTATATTATCATTTTACTTACAAAAATATAATACAGGGCATTTTTTAAGGCATCAAAAATGGGTAAAATTTTTGTTTGGAACTACTTGTCAAAACTCAACGGTTTCCGAGATACTGTGATTCAGAAAGGTTATACAACAACATATGCCGTTGGTTAAAGAATCAAAAATTGGTAAAACTTTTGTTCGGAGTGGGTGCCAAGTCTCAAGGGTTTCCGGAACGGATTTTACGAAATTTCTACTTGTCCAAGTTTTTTTGCTTATAATTTCCGTTCTAAAAAAGATTTGGATTCAAACAAACAGTTTTTGAAGGACAATTAAGGGGCTTAAAATTAAGTTTTTTAAACACAAACATTAAACTTTTAGTTAAATATTTTTTTAGTTATAAATTTTTTAGTTAATAATTTTTTCCAATGAATTTAGCCCTTTTAGAATAGCACCTTTTATAAATGTTTAATTCCACTTAAATATTAGACGTGAATTAGCTTCCGCAACCTAAATTACAAATTTAAGCAAAAAGTATAAATGCAACAAGTACCTATAATGAAATTTTTTTGAAATTGGATGTTACTAATAGCTATTGAAAGAAACATTTGAAAAATTGTAATTCAAAAAGTTTTTCAATAATGTAAAAACCTAAAAATTTTCTTAAGATTCTTAAAGAGTTTCTTTGAAAATGCACAAAAAAGAAATTTCTTTTCTATTTTCAATAAAAATGGAAAAAAAACTTCATTTTCTTTGTATGTTTTGTAAATTTAAATTTATAATTACTTTTTGGCGTCTTCGATAACCTTTAAAAATGATTAATTACATTTTGTTACAAAAAATTTAACTTTCAAACAAAATTAATAAATTTGAAGCCGAAAAATAAATAAATATTGTGTTTCTTGAACAATAATTCGGGAGTATACAACATAATCATTAATAAAAGTTTATGTATGTGCGGTCTATGAAATTTTAATGGCGTTTACATTAAAGCTAAAGTTAATAACTTTGACTTTAAATCAATTCATATTGTGTAGATAGAGTGAATTGACTGTATAACTTGGCATAAATTTTCACTTTCATGCATAATGTTTGTTGATCAATTATTATTGCGGCAACACAAAATTTTATTGTACTAAAATCATAAATTTTTACTTTAATTAAATTTTTTATTTAATTTAAATTCAACAAAATTATTTATAAAAATTTAAAAAAATCTCAATTGATCAGAATTACTAGATCTTTGGTAATAATTTCAACGTATTCAGTTTGTTTATTATAAGTAATTATAATATTATATTATATTATAATTATTATAAGAACTTACTATTTTTGCTTCCTATCAAATAAGGGTGCTAAATATATTAGCATATATCTTTTTATTGCTATTGAAGACTCGAAGAAACTCATATTTTCAAAATTCAATAGGAGCAAGTCAATATTTTTGTATCATGTTGCGTTTTTAATTACGTCATATTACAGCTGTTTTGTTTCTACATTCATCTGCATAATATTATTAAAAAAATACAGAACAATCTGATAATTTAAGTAAAATATTCAGAAAAAAAAATTTTTTATTTAAATTTTTCTTATTGACAACAAAATTATCAATCGCACGCAAGTTTCCTTTGCAAACTGCATTTGAATATTTCCAATAAAAATAATTTATTCTAATAAAATCAAATTGAATAAGAAAAAACCTGTTAGGCTTGCGTATTTACTAATTAATATAATTAATAATAAATTATGGCAAATAATTTCTTTTACCATTTCATTTGGCGGTTTATAGATTTTTGGAATCCCCTTAATTTTGTTTTAATTTGTTTTAACATGTATAATTAGTAAAATTAAATTAATTTTAAGTTACTAGTCAAAAAAGCCATGTTACATGACGGTTTTTTTTTTGTTTTATAAAACCGGTCCTGCCATAAACTCAATTAAATTATTCAAATATTCATACTCATGTTTAATTGTAAATTATTAATCATAACTTGTCGTGTTCTAAGCAAAAATGAATTAAATTAAAAAGTTAATTAACAATACATGCATTTTTCACTTTTAATTAATAAAAAATTTTAATTTAACATCTTACTATTCAATGCGAACTTAAAATCATTATATATACTTAAGTATATTTATGTATTTAAAATCTAATTTCTTGTTATCAAGTACAAAATGAATTAATTGACATCAGAAATTTGCTGCCAGGTGGATTTTATGAAAAAAATTGTTGAATTTTAAGTATGTGAGACTAATGAAAAAATTCGAACAAAATTGAAATTTCTATACTTACTTAAAATGCTACTTCTCCCAATAAAATAAGAAGTCCGAATGTTATATTTTATTTATAAACATCATTCCATTACAAATCCGAAAAAAAATAAAATTTTTGATTGAATAATTTTTTGAAATTTGGAATCTTTCTCTCTCAACTTGCACCGTAAATCCAGTAAATTTTTTATAAATTCATGGTCTACTTCCAGACACAGTTTTAAGTCTTAACTTTAAACATAATTTACTCGAAACATATTCTTTCGATATTTAAACAATTTTTTCCTTTAAACTATCCAGTTAGTTCTTACCTATTTGAAAAATTTTTTAATTATTCTGTCAACGAAAAATAAAAAATGCTAAAAAGGAATTGCTGTACTGCTGAAAAAATCACCTAACTCATCAACAATTATTTATGTAATTTTAAATAAAATAATAATAAAGTAATACTTAGTTACTCAATCCCCAAAGTTATTTAAATGCAAAATATAAAAAGATGTAAACAATGCACCATTTATGCTCATACATAAAAAATAATGTATGACAAATTTTATATAAACATATTGAAATTCTCTTAGAAAAATTTTATTTAAGAGTACTTTTGAACTATAGCAGTACAAATATGTTAATATATTGCTGACATTTTGAACATAAAAAATCAATCAAATACGGAAAACATTAAGAGAAATTAAAAATAATTTGAATTTGTTGGAAAAATATTTAATTTTTCTTTAATTACTAGATCTACGCAATCACATAATATGTGCTACATAACTTGTTAATTCCTATTATTAACAGTATAAGAGTAAAATTACAAAAAAAATTTAAGTTCAGCGTTATCTATGCAGTATAACCACTACCATACTACCGAGCTCGTTAAGTATAATTTATCAAAAAATTGCTATACCAGTGAAAAAAAATATAAAATAACTTAACGTAACGAAAACCTTTTAAAATTTTGTAAAGTAAAAGCCTTACACTTAAATTACATAATATGATCATTAAAAACCACTTCCATGTAATAAATTACCATCAACATTTTATGCTATACACAAACACACACCTTGAAAAACTTACATAGTTGCATACGTCATTTATATGCACTTGTGTCCATTAAGTTTCTAGGATTAGAAAATAGTTATAAGAAAAAATTCTATGCTTTAGCTAGAAATCATTTCTACTCATTAAATTTTCTAACTTCAAAACTAGTAATTTTTGCGACTGCTTTGGAATTTCAGTAGTTCTCTCTTTTATATACCTATACTTGTATATGTATGTAGTTACACATACGAAATTTTAATGAACCTGCAAATTATAGAATTAATAATAATTATGATTGCAATATTTTTAAAATTTTAATGGAAACTGTTGTAAGTAAGAAAGTAAATTTTTTTTTTGAAGTGAAGGAGAAAAAGATAATCGAAAAAGTACTCGAAT